CTATGCTCCAAATGGGGTAAGAGCAATCACTTTTTAGGAATTTGATACTTTCGAGGATTGCATTGTAGGCATGGATTCAATTTGAAATTAACGAACTTAAATGGCTATTTTTCCTTGGTGAGGCCGAGATTAGAATGGGGTAATGTCTAGTGAGAATCCGAAAGGTGAAAAATTAATTTAGCTAGACCTCTTGCCTTACGAAAAAGAGAATGGGAACCCTGGTCAAAAAGCGTAAGATGAGACTTGGGTATCTTTCGAAAGAAACGGCGTTCTCGTGCCAACATGACAAGGAAAACTAAACTTAAATTAATGAACTTGGAGGCTATCTCAAAATTTAGCTTTAGTCTTCCGCGTACTTCAAGTATACGTCAAAGCACAAATGTGCCGAGACGGTTTAGCTTAGTTGTACACCATGTCTACTCTTTGCATAGGTTTAAATGATTGTTCCTAAATTGTGGCCTACTGAGTTCCTTGATCCTAAGAATAGCCCTGAAGTTCCTGAATGCATTGAGTCTTTGTTAGAATATTCCGATCTCTCAAAATAAAGGGACTATTATTATTATCCATCCATCATCACCTTCACAAGTCCTTCTGATCAATAACTAGTTTATTTGTGTATGCTGTCATTACTTTGAGGATGTTGTGAATAATTGTGTCAAATAGTTTAGCTTGAGTACAAAGGCGTAGTTTAGGGAAGGATTTTCTTGATTTAAACTGTCTGTCCTGTGAATATCCCTTTAACTACATGTGTATGCTAACTATTTTAAATTCCGTGTGGTGATTATCGTAAGTCCCGTTGTTCAATTTGCTTGATGACAAGCAAAAGCTTAAGTGTGGGGGAGTCTGATAAGTCCGTATTTAGACACGCATTTGATGCGTGTCCAGGTCGGATTTTGATGATTTTCTTGGATTTAAGGCGTTGCAAGTCTCAATTTTGGCTCAAGTTGTGTTTAGCAGGCGTTGGATCAAGTTTCGTTGCATTTGGAGTTGATTTGAAGAAGTTAGAGTCCGGCAATCGGCGCTAAAGAGACAATCGGGACGAGATAGAGAGCATTCAAGGAAGAATTGAGAGATTTGGAGGTCACCGGGTGATTCACGGCGAAATTTTGATGAAGAAAGAGCATTGGGATCGACCTCGTTTGAATCCGGGCACGTTTGGAGCAAGAAAACGAGAAAACGGAGCGAAAAAGTCAGACGCACGGTCGTGCGTCTGGGACGCACGATCGTGCGTCCATTACTAAACCGCGAAGAGGCCTCTGCCTGCTACGCACGATCGTGCGTAGGCAGGGACGCACGATCGTGCGTAGCCCCGTGACACGCGCGGAAATTTCCTATTTCGGCCCAAATTCGGTTTTTTTCCCCTTTTTTCTTTAAATAAGGCCTCCCTAACCCTTTTTGAGGGTTACGAACATTACGGAAAGGCCTAGGGACGAACTTAACACCGTTTTTACGCTATTTTCTTCCAAGACCCTGGGATTATTTGTAAGTTCATCTTTTTAATTAATGACAATTATTTCTATTCATCTCAATTCTGTTGATTCTTCAATTATGAATTGTGAGTAGTTTAATTAGGGATTTGGGGTTGATGAAGGGGTTAATCGTGATTGATGGCTAGATTCTTGATGGTTTAATTGCATGAATGCCGTTTAATTTGTGTATGAATAATTTAACTGATATCTCTTGTAACCTAGATGGCCACTAGAATTACAATTGCTTATAGAATAAATTAAGAGAGATCTAATTTGTTCTAGGACACATTCACACACACTTAATCGTTTGCTAAGAGATTAGTAGCGATTAAGGAGCCGTAAGCTCGCTCGTCTTGGCAATAATTTAGGATCTTGTCGCATGAGAGATCAGCCTGGTCCCCTAAATTATTGTACTCTACGCCGCGAGAGCGGTAAGAATTTAGTAATGATTAGCTAGGCTCAATTAAATTAAATTCATGTAAATTAGGCCTGATCTGCCAGAAATCTGGTTACCCCGGAATCAATCCCTGTTCCCTTCGTCGTTAATTGAGAAGAAACCATTTTTATTTTAATCGTTCATCTTCATTAGTTTAATATTAATTCACCAATCAATCTCGCACACTTGCGTTTATTTATTTTATTTCTTTTTAATCGCTGAATTTAGTTAATCTTTAATTCCCTTTTGTCCGTCCCTGTGGAGACGATACTCGTACTTTCAACCACTATTCTACAATCTTTTTAAGTGCGAGAAAACACTCATCAGACTAAGTGTTTTTTTAGGGAACTAAATGCTTTGTTAAGAATCGCTGAACATAAAGGGGATATTCATGGAGTGGCTGTGTTTTAGGGAACACCACGTGTTACACATTTGTTTTTCACTGACGACAATTTCTTATTTCTTAAAGCCTTTGGCAATGAATGTTGTGCAGTTAAACAAATTTTACAGGTGTATGAAGGTTGCTCAGGTCAGGCAATCAGTTTCACAAAATCTACAGTCACGTTTAGTCAGAACGAATCTTTCAAAGAGCAATGCTGCCATTTTTTTGAGGTTCCATGGGATGGTAGGCAGCAGCATTACCTGGCTCTTCCCTGGTTGTAGGGGTAAGTCAGCTATTTTGGGTTATTTACGGGATAGAATATTAAATAGAATTAAAAACTGGAATAATAGTTTCCTATCATGAGCTGGTAAGGTGGTTTTATTCTGGAATGTGGTTCAAGCAATGCCAACTTATGCCATGAATGTGTTCCTCTTACCCCGGGACTTATGTGATGATATTAAAAACTCATGAATCACTTCTGGTGGAAAGGAACAAAATTTGATCAGAAAGACATTCGGTGGAGGCGTTGGGAGCTGATGTGCAAACCAAAGGGAGCAAACGGATTGGGGTTCAGGAAAATAAGTGAATTCAACTTAGCAATGCTGGCTAAACACGGGTGGAAATTGATTTCTAATCTGGATAACCCGATGGGGCGAATCCTGAAAGCTTGCTATTTCCCAAACTCGGACTTCCTGAAGGCAAAATTGGGCATCAATCCCTCATTTATTAGACGAAGTATACATGAGGCCCAGGCAATGCTAAAAAAATAATGTTAGAAGAAGGGTTGGAAAAGGCAAAGAGGTTCAAGTCCGGGGTATGCATGGCTACTAGGACCAGGGTCGGAGAGAATACAATCTGCTAACCCAGCTGGGATTGCAGATATGAATGTAGCAGCTCTAAGAGATATCACAGGAAAAGAGTGGAGTAGAGAGAGAATTTCAGCAATTCTTAATGAAGAGGAACGCAACCTTATTACTAGTATACCCATTAGCTTGTTGGACAAAAAGATGGGTACCGGTGGAAGGGGGAATAATGGAATTTTCACGGTTAAAAGTTGCTACCAGACACTAATGCATGGAGCGAAAGTAAGCAACTCGAACGGGTGGGCAGGCCTATGGGAATAAAAAATCCCCGGTTAAATATTTTCTTTGGTAGGTCTTAGATGGATCACTACCATCGCCGGAGAATCTCGAATGGAAAGGAGTGGCGATGCAGAACTTATGCAAAGTGTGTGAGCAGGAAGTTGAAACAACAGAGCATGTGTTGAGAATGTGCTGGAGGGTGAAAGAAGTTTGGATAGATGTCGGTTTTGGGATTGGCAACCTAGAGGAGTCTCTGCAAACCTGGCTCAAAAACGCCGGACAAGGAGGCACGTTGCAATTTTGCAATGTTGGTCTGGGGGCTTTGGAAATGGCGGAACACAGTTGTTTGGGAAGGAGAATTACAGAGATCAAATGGAGTTATTCACTGCTGCTCAAATATGTTACAGGCATGGCGGGAGGCACAACACATATGCAACAAAACAAGCAGCACGATGAGGAATGTGAACCCGAGGTGGCAGCAACCTAAAGCTGGAGGAATAAAAGTGAATGTTGATGCAACGGCAGGAGGGGTTAGAGCTTGGGATTGGAAAGCATGAAATGATCAAGGAGAGTTTATCAAAGCTTATGGTGGCTCGTGTAAAGCGGAATGGTCTCTGGTCGAAACAGAAGCGGTGGACATTCACGAGGCAATTATAGGGGCCATCAGGGAAGGGTGGGAAGAGGTCGAGATTGAGTCTGATGCTCAGGTGGTAGTAAGAGGAGTTCAGAGAGGGGATATAGCATACACGGACCTAATCATTGATGATATTTGATTTTTGCTTCAAACAAAGATGAATTTTGTAATATCTTTTTTGTAAATGGTTTGTGAATCGTGTGGCTCATGCATTAGTTAGAGCTCATGTTGACATCTCAAATCTTAGCAGTAGTTATAACGTTTTACCGGAGTACATTATAAGTCATGTAGCAAATGATTCTTTAATTCAATAAAGTTGCTTGTTTCGGTTAAAAAAAAATGAATCACAAGGCCTTATGGGAAACCCTAGAAGGGTGAGCAACCGATTAGGTGGAACATCGAAGGCTCTTTTCCGTCTAAGCTCCAACGCAAATTGAAAAAGTGGTCGGAACACTTGTATTACAGGTGTATTCTTCCCTAAGATTTCTAAGATACGTTTATCCTTCTTCATTCAATATCTTTGGAGCATAGGCGGGGCTTAGGCGTGAAAAAGTGTTTTGATTTTCTTATCCTTTAGTTTTCCTAAAGCTATTTTACATATTTAAATTCAATATTAAGTAAGGTTATTGACAAACATCATACTTTCTCATTTTCAACAAAAAAAGATTTGACAGAGTCCTCAATCTAACAAATACAGAGTATACATTTACCATTTACGTATTTAATATCAGTTTTTTTTGTGTTAGTGGTCAAAGTAAATGCCAAATGAGAGTGTTTCAACTAAAACGAAATGAATAAAATATATATTTTTATAAAATATAGCTATATGTATGTTTCTGATTTAGTTATAAGTGTACTTCGATAGTTTAACTTCATTATTATATCCAAATATCTCATTACTTTGTATTGAAGTGCTAGTTGTAACTTGTAACTTATAAGTCAGAAATGGGAGCTCCGTGAGACCTATATATATATATACATAAACGGCATAATAACAAACAAGCACATGCAAGGACATGGTAGAGAGACGTTTAAATTGAATTACCAAAATTTTGGATTTGGCGCGCACCGGAAGCTCAGGCCTTCATTCTCTAGATGCTGATGTGCTCATCGTCCCCAGATACTGATCGGAACTGCAAAACACTCAAACTGAAACCCTAACCGCAACATCCAATCTGAGCGGAATCTAATGCATTGTAAAATACAGAGTTTCTGCTAAAACCACCAGTTATATATTTCTCTCTCCCTCGCCGGAGTGCGTACGGCGTTAGGTTGGAGAGAAGAGGGCGACTTATGCGAAGAGGCGTGAGGGCGGTTTAGTATATCAGTCCAGATCCGACCCGGGAACTAGAACAAGCCCCAAATCTGGAACGGCGGGATACATTGAATCGGCACAGTTCCCACTAAAAACAATTTCGTATGATATTCCAATAATAAAATGGTTTCTAATTCCCCGAGCTCACTCGCCGAGCATACTTTCAAGACGGACGATTATTTGCCATGAACGAAAACAGCTGATTCCAAACTACAGGTTCTACAAAATTCAGGTCAGTTACCGGTTTTTATTGGAGGCACGTAATCTATGTTTCAAATTATTTGAAACGTCGTTCAAGTTCGTGAATCTGTGCTGTTTTGAGTTCTCTGTAGCGTACAATTATGACAAACTTACCTGAAAACTACTTCAATTTTTAAACAATTTTTGAGTCCAGGCTGTTAAACCGTTATAGTTGCTGTGAAGTTTCTAGGGATTATTTGAGCTGTTATGCACAGAGGTAATTATTATGAGCATAAATGTTCCTTTGTTTTTTCCCAGTTTGATCAGTGAAAAAGAACTCTGAAGCAGCTTTTTAGGGGTTGAGTTTGAGCTAAAGAGGGTTACGAGAGGAGGAAGAAGAATGGAGACCCCGGTTTCAGTTAGGAGGGTGAGGAGGAAAGTGAGTGTAAAAAATTACAGTGAGCATTTGATGGATGAACTAATGGAGGGAGATCTGGGTGGTTTGAAGAAGAAAAGGATTAGAACAAGAGAGCAATTGGAGAAAGAGACTGAAGTAGAGGCCATGCTGGCACTTTCTTTGGGATTCCCCATTGATGATTTACTTGAGGAGGAAATTAAAGCTGGGGTTGTAACAGAGTTAGGCGGGAAAGAGCAAAATGATTATATTGTTGTAAGGAACCACATACTTGCGCGGTGGAGGTATAATGTTCGGTCATGGATTTCCAAGGGCCAGATAAGGGAAACTGTGAGCAGCGAATATGAGCATATAATATCTGCTGCTTATGACTTTCTCTTGTATAACGGATACATAAATTTTGGGGTCTCTCCATCTGTAGTGTCTCGGATCCCTGAGGAGGCAACTGAAGGGTCTGTCATTATTATCGGTGCTGGACTTGCTGGATTAGCTGCAGCAAGGCAGCTGTTGTCATTTGGTTTCAAAGTGGTTGTACTTGAAGGTAGGAACCGTCCTGGTGGAAGAGTTTATACACAGAAATTGGGGCAAAATGGTAACTACTCTGCAGTTGATCTTGGTGGCAGTGTGATAACTGGTATCGATGCCAATCCTTTGGGGGTTTTGGCCAGACAACTTTCCATCCCTCTCCACAAAGTTAGAGATAAGTGCCCTTTGTACCAACCTGACGGAGCACCAGTTGACAAAAATGTTGATTCTAAAGTTGAACATATTTTTAACAAGCTGCTTGACAAAGTCATGGAGCTCAGAAAAATAATGAGAGGATTCGCTAATGATATTTCTTTAGGTTCAGTCTTGGAAACACTTACGCACCTTTATGCTGTGGCTAGAACCACAGAGGAGAGACAGCTTCTAGACTGGCATTTTGCTAACTTGGAATATGCAAATGCCGGATGCCTTTCAAACCTTTCAGCTGCGCATTGGGATCAAGACGACCCTTTTGAAATGGGAGGTGACCATTGCTTGCTCGCTGGTGGAAATTTGAGACTAATCAAAGCATTATGCAAGGGAGTTCCTGTTTTCTATGGTAAAACTGTTCAGACAGTAAGGTACGGAGATGCAGTTGAAGTCATAGCTGGTGGCCAAGTTTTTCAAGCAGATATGATACTTTGTACAGTTCCTCTTGGGGTTTTGAAGAGAAAATCAATAAGATTTGAACCAGAACTACCGGCGAAGAAACTTGCAGCAATACAAAGATTGGGATTTGGCTTGTTGAACAAGGTTGCAATGGTGTTCCCCTATGTTTTTTGGGGAGATGATCTTGATACATTTGGCCATCTCAACCAGTTTAGGGATAGGCGTGGAGAATTCTTCCTATTTTACAGTTATCATACTGTTTCTGGAGGCCCTGTACTTGTTGCTCTTGTTTCTGGTGTTGCTGCACAATTCTTTGAATCTACGGAGCCATCCACTTTGGTCCATCAAGTTATGGACATTCTTAAAGGTATTATAAATCTTTGATCTGGAGGTTATACTATTAAACGATGACATTATATTATTAATCAATGAATACTTTTGATAAAACTCTTAAGAATCATTGGATTCTAATTATTCTTTCTGAGTTTATTTAAAATTTTCTATTGGCTAGAATTTTGACTGGTCATCACACTTCACCTATTCTCTTTATATGCTAAGCTTACATTTCTTCTAGATTTAGTATAAACTTCAACTTTGTAATGTATGAGTGTCAATTGTGAACTTATATATGTATCGTGACTCACCTAAGAGGAAACTATATAGCTGTAGAGGTCAAACTCAATGTATTGTTCCATTTCCTAAGATTGTGAAAACTTCGTCCACCTTTGTAAGACGGAATATAAGATCCTTGTTACAGACCAATTCTATGGTCGGAAATATCAACGTAGAAATCGGATGATCAGGAAGGATGATTCTGGAATCCAAAGTGGCTGAGAAAGAAATCTGTGATCTGACAGTTTTAGGAAACTTCCTAATCTGCAGCTTCCTAATTAGCATTTATCTCTTTCTCTAATTATTTCTACTTTCCTATTCAATAATCTGCAGCAGTTTCCTAATTAGTATTTATCTCTGTTCAATTAGCTATTATGTTTCCTATTATGTTTTAGGAAACTTCTTAATTAGCATTTATTTCCTTTTAGAATTAGGACTCTTGTAATAGCTATATAAGGGTCATTAGTATTATTCAATAAAGGAGCTTTGGAGAATTAATTTCTGGATCTCTGGAATACTTCCAAGATCAGATTAATTCCACTGAGCCTTTCTTTTAATTCTTCCAGTTAATACATTCATCATAGATTCCAAATTTCAGAATTTTCGAAGTTCTCGTTCCCTGCCAGTCTCTCGTTCTCGTCCTTGGACGAGATCTTGTACGTCTGCCCTTAACAACTTGGTATCAGCATCTAGGACGATGGCGAAAGACGCTGCTGACGCTGGCTCACTCAAAGACATGATTGAAAACATCGATCACAGGCAACTGGCAGTCGAACATCACTTGGCAGACATCAGGGATTCTATGGCAAAGCTCGACGACATTCCTAACGTTGTATCCGCGCTAGCTGCCAACCTGCAACGATTGATGGACGAATCTTCCTCCAGCATTCCACGGCATGAACGACAACGTGACCCAGAACATCGTCGGCGTGAAACTGATGACTCCGTAGTTCCCCGCTACTCCAAACTGGAATTCCCTCAATTTGACGGTAAAAGTGATCCCTTGTCGTGGTTGAAACGTTGTGAAAGCTTCTTTATTCAACAACGAACACCGGCCCAAGCTCGAGTGGGATTGGCAACATTCCACATGCTCGGCACCGCCCAACTATGGGCCGATCAACTGGAGACAGGAATTTCAGAGATTACATGGACAGACTTTTACACTCGCTGCATCAAACGTTTTGGTCCACCCAGTAGTTCTAATCCAGAAGGTGATCTTGCCAAACTTCGTCAAACTCGTGATCTGGAGCTCTACATTGAGAATTTTCAACAATTATTGGCTCGAACCGTGGGGATCTCTACACGAATGCAAGTCAAAATATTCACAGCTGGTCTTCGGGAGGTTATCCGCATGGAGGTTGAGTACCAAAGTCCGTTAGATCTTGACTCTGCAATGATGCTCGCACGTAATGTTGAACGCAAATATAATTTGCCAGGCTCCTCGGTCGAGATCTCCCCTCCACCCCAACCTGCCACACGATCAGGCTATGCGCCCACACTGACCGAATCCAATCAACCTCGGCGCAGCTCCATTCCGAATTTTAAAAAGATTTCTCCTGCAGAGGCTGCCATCCGCCGGGAGAAAGGGTTGTGTTATAATTGTGATGATCAGTGGGTTCGTGGCCATAAATGCAAACGGTTGTTTTTCATTGAAATTTTGGAAGACAATCCCCTGGAAGATGACCTGGAGCCCCCCCTCTCACTTCATGCTATGGTTGGTGCTGGGACAACATCGACAATGCAGTTAGCTGCACACATTCACAACACCTCGATCACGGTTTTAGTCGACTCAGGCAGCACCCACAATTTTGTGCATCAACGGCTAGTTTCTAATATTGTTCATCCAGTCCAACCTGGGTCCCGTCTTCAGGTTTTGGTGGCTAATGGTGAACGGGTGCCTATATTGGGAACCTGCCCTCGGCTGGAATTCATGGTCGATGGACGCACATTTATGGCAGACTTCTATGTACTGCCCTTAGCCGGATTTGACATGATCTTGGGAGTACAATGGCTTCAAGGCCTCGGATCTATTGTATGGGACTTCTCCCGCCTTTCTATGCAATTCATATGGCAGAATGCAAAAGTGGAATGGCACGGACAGATTGCAACTACGCCTCCTCATGCCCATATGTTGACCGAAACAGTATTAGGGCTGGAAGGCCTACTGAATGACTTCCAGGATATCTTCTGCCCACCAACCGGCCTCCCACCTTCTCGGCCTTGTGATCACCGAATTTCCCTCATCCCAGGAACAGGCCCAGTCGTTGTTCGTCCGTACCGCTACCCATACTTTCAAAAGGATGAAATCGAAAGACAATGTTCAGAGATGCTCACGCAAGGTATCATACGCCCAAGTCATTCTCCCTTTTCGTCGCCTGTATTATTAGTAAAAAAACCAGAGGGTGCTTGGCGATTCTGCGTTGATTATAGGGAATTGAATTCCAAGACGATTAAGGATAAATATCCAATCCCGGTAATTGATGAGCTGCTAGATGAGCTTTATGGGGCCCAATTTTTTACTAAACTCGACCTGCGTTCTGGATATCATCAGATCCGGATGGCGGCTGGGGACGTCGAAAAAACAGCATTCCGTACGCATCATGGACACTTTGAATTCTTAGTTATGCCTTTTGGCCTAACTAATGCACCCTCCACATTTCAGAGTTTGATGAATGATATTTTTGGGCCCTACCTTCGCAAGTTTGTCCTCGTTTTCTTTGATGACATACTGATTTATAGCAAGTCATGGGTTGAGCACGTTTATCATGTGCGCCTCGTCTTAGAAATCTTGCGCAACCATGGCCTTTCTGTTAAAAAGTCCAAGTGCAGTTTTGGCGACCAGCAAGTCAACTATCTTGGTCACATAATACATCGTGGGGGTGTCGAGGTTGATCCATCCAAAATACATGCAATCACAGAGTGGCCACTCCCTAAATCTGTATCTGCCCTGCGCGGGTTTTTAGGGTTGTCCGGCTATTACAGAAAGTTTATTCAACAATATGGCGAAATTGCGGGGCCTCTCACGCAAATGTTAAGGAAAAGCTCTTTCATATGGACAGAGGAAGCTGCCCAGGCATTCGAGACACTTAAGCAACGCTTATCCTCTGCTCCGGTACTCCAATTGCCAAATTTTGAAAAAGAATTCATTGTAGAATGCGATGCTTCCGGTTCAGGTTTTGGAGCAGTCTTACAACAGGAAGGGCATCCTATCGCCTACTTTAGTCGAAAAATAGCTGATCGACACCTTAAACTCGCAGCCTATGAAAGAGAGTTGATTGGCTTAGCCAAGGCAGTGACTCATTGGAGACCCTACTTGTGGGGATCTGAATTTTTAATTCGGACAGATCACTCCAGTTTGAAGTATTTACTCGATCAACGATTGACCACTTCCCCACAACAACATTGGTTGAGTAAATTGATGGGCTTCAATTTTCGGGTAGAATACAAGCCAGGCCGCCTAAACACTGTCGCAGATGCTCTATCCCGACAACATGAGGACGACATCCAGTTGGCAGCACTCAGTATTCCATACAACACCTTACTTACTGAAATACGGGCAGCACAAGCAACCTCTCCTATCATAAATGATATCATTAGCGAAATTCGAAGTGGTCAACGTGGATCAGATTGGGAGATTCGAGATGGCCTAGTTTATTTCAGGTTTAAAATCTACCTGCTAGATACATTTGCAGTCGTTCCGACTCTGATCTCGATTTTTCATAATATGGCTCATGAGGGAGTGGAAAAGACTTTGCAACGGCTTCGGCGTGAGTTTTATTGGAGCGGCATGAAAACGGCAGTGACAACCTTTGTTCGTGACTGTCAAACGTGTCAAAAACACAAGTGGTTGACATTACAGCCAGCTGGGTTGCTTCAACCTCTTCCGATTCCACACCACATATGGGCTGATATTTCAATGGATTTTGTGGAGGGTTTACCAAAGGTTCGCGGCAAGTCTGTTATTCTAGTGGTTGTGGACAGACTCTCTAAAGCAGCACATTTCGTCCCATTGTCTCATCCTTATACTGCTGTCTCAGTCGCAGGAGTCTTCTTTGCTGAAATATTTCGCCTTCATGGACTGCCTGAATCCATTGTTTCTGACCGGGATAAAATATTTGTAAGCACATTTTGGCGCGAACTTTTCAGATTATCAGGAACCAAGCTGGCCTATTCATCAGCATATCACCCGCAGACAGATGGCCAAACGGAAGTGGTCAACCGTACCGTAGGGTTGTTCTTACGTTGTGTCACTAGCGATTATCCCAAGGAATGGGTCCGTTGGCTTCCATGGGTTGAGTATTGTTACAACACATCTTACCACTCTTCCTTAGGGGACACCCCTTTTCGTTTAGTATATGGTCGGGATCCGCCTCGTATTCTCTCATATATGCCCGGCACAACTATGGTCGAGGGGGTTGATCGGGAGCTCATTGCCCGTGACCAACTTCTGAAAAGTGTCAAGGACCGACTAGCACAAGCCCAACAACGCATGAAGGACCAGTTTGATAAACATCACCGAGACTTATCCTTTGAACCTGGAGCATGGGTCTGGCTCCGTCTCCAGCCATATCGCCAGCTCTCCTTGGGCCAAAAAAATCACAAACTATTGCAGAAATTTTTTGGCCCCTTTCAAGTGCAGGAACGCATTGGCAACAGCGCATACAAGCTCATATTACCCTCTGAGGCTCGTATACACGATGTCTTCCATGTCTCCCTTTTGAAGCCGCATAAAGGGCCTCCTCCAACGACAATGGGCACTCTTCCGCCAGTTCCTAACAGTCTTAGCACCTCAATTCCACTTGCAATCATTCGAAGTAGACTTACTCAAGGGGGATGGGAGCTCTTAGTTCACTGGCAAGGGCACCAACTGGATGAGGCAACCTGGGAGCCCTTGGGTTCATTTCAAACGAGATTTCCCAGTTTTGAGCTTGAGGACAAGCTCTTTGTCAACGGGGGGAGTGATGTTACAGACCAATTCTATGGTCGGAAATATCAACGTAGAAATCGGATGATCAGGAAGGATGATTCTGGAATCCAAAGTGGCTGAGAAAGAAATCTGTGATCTGACAGTTTTAGGAAACTTCCTAATCTGCAGCTTCCTAATTAGCATTTATCTCTTTCTCTAATTATTTCTACTTTCCTATTCAATAATCTGCAGCAGTTTCCTAATTAGTATTTATCTCTGTTCAATTAGCTATTATGTTTCCTATTATGTTTTAGGAAACTTCTTAATTAGCATTTATTTCCTTTTAGAATTAGGACTCTTGTAATAGCTATATAAGGGTCATTAGTATTATTCAATAAAGGAGCTTTGGAGAATTAATTTCTGGATCTCTGGAATACTTCCAAGATCAGATTAATTCCACTGAGCCTTTCTTTTAATTCTTCCAGTTAATACATTCATCATAGATTCCAAATTTCAGAATTTTCGAAGTTCTCGTTCCCTGCCAGTCTCTCGTTCTCGTCCTTGGACGAGATCTTGTACGTCTGCCCTTAACAATCCTCTCTATTGTTCTTTATCTTCTTACCTATTTAAAAGGTCACATGAGTTAAAGAAAACTTGAAAGGTTTGAAAGGATGGAAACAACAATATATTTCTTACATCTTACTTCATTTTTTTTTTGCCAAAACAACTTACTTCTTATTAATGATATGAGTTAAGGTATCAAACATTGTGGTGAAATTTAATTCAAATATTCCAAACTATGGGAATGTGTGAACTTAGCCCCTCAAAGTCCCAAACTATGCCTGAAATAAATTTCCTAAACTTTATATTACAAGTGATTTAAACACCATGTAAGCTTAGGAATTTGAATGCAAGAAATCACCCTAAAATGTTAGAAGTATTCAAAGTTGTGTATATTGTCCCATCTTAGCCGCCATATCGTTGCTCGTTTAAGCTTAAATAGCACTGATATCGTATTGAAACATGAGGTTTCATCCTAAATCATTGGTAAGAGGAGCACACCAAAACCTTGTATATGGGTTTTGTAATTTTATACTTGGCTGGTCTGAGATATCTTAACACAAACAACCATGTTTGTTGGGAATAGAAACCCCGCAGGTTGTCCCCCTCCCTCGGTTGTAGTTGTTTGCCATAAAAACTGGTTGGAAATGTCTTGGAAATTGAGGTAAGGGGTGGGAGTGTGGGACATAGAAATATGCTTGAATTTGTACGCCAAGGAATGGGAAGGAGAACTGGAACTCGTTCACCATTAACAATGATCACAAACAAATTGGAGTTCAGGTGGTGTTGAAAGCCCTGGCCACTGCCAAGGTATCCGTGGACAAAATTTTGCGTACTCCCTGAGTCCACCAGATGGTAATGGCAGGTTGGCAGCACCACAAAGTGTAGTGTTTATATGCATATTTATGGCTGGGCCTGAGCCGGGCATGGCATGTAATGAGAGACAGATTGGGTGGCTTAGTTTCATCTGAGTCGTTATCAGATTCAGTGAGCTAAAAAAATATTGGTCAGCACAATCATAACAGAGGCCCTTTGAGTGGCAGGCGGCTGCCTTTGAACACAGAAGTCTCTTTTTAAGCTCAATGCTTTTTAATAACGTCATTCAATATAAGTATATGTTACTACCTCCATACCAAAAAACTTTGCCATTTCAAAAAAAATGAACCATGATTTTGATTAGTATAATATTATGGAAGTTAATAATTTTATACTTTTATGAAAGTACTTTTAACAAAGAACATTTTCATATAATTTTTATATTATAAATAATTTCCAATAAAAAGATATAATTGGTCAAAGTTTTGAAAATGGCAAAGTTTTTTGGGATGGAGGTAGTAATTTTAAAACTAAATAGGATATTAATCTCATGCTTTTCATTTTAAAAAGTTCAAAGAACAGTGTGAATGCTCAGTTTTAGTTAAATTACTTTCACATTAGCTTATTAAAGATGATATTGTTTTAATGGAGTTATTTTGTGAAACTTGTAGATGGTATAAAATCAATATGATTATGTTTTCTAGTTTTTCATTTCAAATGTGTAAAATATCATTGGATGATATGCCCTGCAGCCATACTTGAACCTCTAAGATATTATAAAGGAGTTTCGATCGCTAAAAAAAACAGTGTAACCACTGAGGTATTCAATAATTTGTGGGGATCTATGTAATAGTTCCCTTTCTAAAAAAAGTCAGCTTGGTGCACATTGGTGTCCCCACAAGGCGAGTGTCAGGGGAAGGGTCCCATCATATGGGTGTATAAGAAGCAAGCTTTCCCTTGGAAATGAATGTGATCTTTGTATAGAAAAACTGGATTAAAAAAAAGATCTTAATAGCCCCTAGTGGTTTTCCACCATTCTTAAATTGTACTACGTATTTTTAATGAGAGCCTAAAACTTCATTTGTGTCTCGTTGACATCTTTTATTTCTGATGTCCATATTTATTTGTCTATACTGCAATCTTTTGCAGGTATATATGGTCCTCAGGGGATCGATGTGCCTGATCCTGTGCAATCCATGTGCACAAGATGGGGAAGTGATCCCCTTACTTATGGTTCTTATTCGCATGTTGGAGTGGGATCATCTGGCAGTGACTATGATACTTTGGCAGAAAGTGTTGATGGGAGGCTATTTTTCGCTGGTGAAGCAACAATACGTCAACATCCAGCCACCATGCATGGTGCCTATCTGAGTGGTTTAAGAGAAGCTTCACGAATCTTCCAAGCTATGAAGCAGTGGCAGAACATTCCAAAGAAATGCATAACCAAAAATTCTGGACCAAGCAGTGAGGTTCTGACAAAACTGTTCAAGAAGCCTGACCTGGCATTTGGGCAGTTTTCATTTGTATTTGATTCCTTGACTAATGATCCCACATCTTTGGGTCTCATGAGAGTAACTTTTTCCAGCACCTTTACTGGTGATATGTCTTGCAGAAATGAGACTGACACTATATATCAACAGTTGTTAGAACAACAACCACTGCATCTTTTTACGATTTTGTCGTGTAGTCAGGCACAAGAAATACAACTGATGACTGGATCAGATGATTGTAAATTGTTGTATTTATTCAAGAATTTGGGCTTGAAGCTAATGGGGGCTGACAGTTTAGGTGCTTTAGGCAATTCGATTACTTCTAACATCGCTAATGCAAGAAAAGGCAGAGGTCGACACCGCATGTTTAGCATACAGAAAAAGGCAGCCTGCGCTAATGTTCAATTACCATCAGTATAAGTGGTATAATTTCAGGTAGTGGTATATAAACTTCTTTTTTCTCAAACCGGGCGCTAAATTTTGTGTGCTTTGGGTCCATTGTTGACTATTTTGCTTACACCAAAGTTCGTTTGATCTTTGAATTTGTTATGTACTTATGTAATTGGCTCATTTTGTTGCACCAACTTTGTAGTCCCATAGATTTTGTAAGAAGAAGAAATTTTGTATGGTTATAGGCCACTTGCTGAATGGATGTTTCAACTGGTGTTGATAAAAGGATTTTCTGCCATGTGGCTTCTTGTTTTCCTTATTATATGTTGTAGTTCTGTTATATATCTGCATTCTGAATTGGCTAAAGGGTCAAATAGGCTTTGTAGTGCTGCAGATTGCTCAATTCCCACTCCCAGCTAGAAAAGAGACTCGATCTAGCCCATCAACTCTTCAAAAAAAATCAAATGTCTCTTTTCACGGGTAAGCTCTCGTTTTAAAGCTTTACCAGTAGGTAAACTCCAATTTTACCTAACTGGGCCTAATTGCTTCATTGCTTGATCAAATTCCCACCCCCAACATATAAAACAGTCAATCCACGTCCACCACATCAACTCTTCAAAAAATATGAAATGTCCTGTTTCACAGGTAAACTCCAATTTTAAAGCTTTGTCACTAGGGAAGGTGCCTTGTGTAGCCAAGTGAGCTGCTGAGTCGTTAAAAAAAATAAAAAATAAAAAAATAAAATGTGTTTCTCTTTACACGGTTCAATAAAATATTTAGTGAAGGAAAGAGGAAAACTGTGCTTTTTAATGGGGAGTATATCTATTTAAATGTTAAGTCAGCCTCAAAAATTAAACTTAAGCGAGCAAGTAGGACAGTAATACATTTATAACGGGAGCTTACATGCGAAATGGGACATTTGATTTTTTTTTGAACAGTTGATGGGCTGGATTGACTCTTTTCACGTAGGTGGTGCCGTGGTGGAAATTTTGATCAAGCAGATAGAGTCAGTTTGGTTGGGGTGCGAGGAGAAAAAAGGGGAGGAGTCATATACTCATATATATAAGAGTTAATTACTCATATAGGACAAAAAGACTTGTCAAATGTTAAAATAGGACCGATTTCCGACATTATGTTTAGTAGGAGTTATTTAAGCATGAGTGGACCATAATACCCTTATTTTAAATAAGGAACTGCCTTTCATTAAATCAAATAGAATTCTTGCGCAGGGAATTCCAGGCAAATTGAAGATGCCCCTCTCACACCGACGTCACCGTACGCCGCCGCCACCCTCTGCCGGCGCCGTCTACCGCCACCCCTCGCCGGCGCCATATGCCGGCACCGCCTACCCCGCCTCCCTACCGGTACACCATCACCGCCCAACTGCTATTGACATCCGTCACCGCCATCACAACTCCCTCATTGTTGTCTATGTTAAATCCCCACCACTCACCTCCGAGCACCGCCGTCGTCACGACTCCAGTGTCGTAGATCTGCCATTAAGTTGACAGATTTAGCCTCAAAGGATGATTACAAATATGCCATTAAGTTGGCAGATTTAACCTAATCTGCCATTAATATGAAGTTTAAGATATGCCAAAAAAGTGGCAGAATAATCTTGGAAGAACACCAAACTGCCATACTTTTGGCAAAAATATGAAATACCAACCAAATAGTGAAAACTAATTTTTTTATGAGTAAACACTCAAACAAAATAAATAATAAATTCACGAAACTAGTGACAAAACATCAGAAAAGCAGATTTACAAAAAAAATCTTTTCTGCCATAAATGATATTCGGTGTGCTCATTTTTGCCATAAACTTGGCAAAATTTTAATCCATCGTCCAAAAAAACTGGATAATTGAAATTTTTTAAAATTACTGAAATTTGAAAAAGGAAATGCAAAATAGAAGATAAAAAAATCAACAAATCGAAACACAGAACAAAAAAAATAGAGGAATAGAAGAAAAATCAATTTCAAAGCCAAAAAATAAAATAATAGGAGAAAAGGAGGATGAAGAACGAGAAGAAGGAGAAGAAGAAGAAGAAGGAGAAGAAGGAAAAGAAGAGGAAGAGGAAGAAGAAGGAAAAAAAAACTGACCAAACGGCGGTCGACGGCTTGCAGGGGGTGGAGTCGTAGGCAACATCGGCGGCTATGGATGTGGTCGGCGATGAAATTGATCTAATATGCAGGGCAGAAGGAATGGACGGATCTGGTGAGAATTGAGAAGAAGAGAAGAGATGATGGTGTGAAGTGGGAGAAGAAATTGATCGATGTGTTGGGGTACGAGAGAATAAATTTATCGGATGTGTTTTGCGGTGTGGATGCATCGGATAACAAAACAGGGGTAGTAATGGAATGAGAAATTCTCTATGTTTATAATAGGAGTAATTTGGTCCTATTTGGGAATAAAAGCATAAGAAGTCTTATTTTGGATTTTTACCCTAGTTTTAGTCCTATTTGGGATAATTTCTATATATATAAATAAAGTGAAAATAAAATAATACGAAGTATATAAAAGTACATGGTCTAACTAATTATATAGTTAAATGGAGCCTAAAATTAACAAATTCATATGAATGAGTAAAATAAAAAGATAATCCTTCCCTCTACCTCCAACACCCCCAAACCAAACAAGCCTTTAAGGTTGGTGAGAGCTTTCAAGGAAACTTTGATAAAGGTTTTAAGTCCACCCTATTGAGAGCGCAGATTATACTATACATCCGGGTGTATATGTACACCAGGTTTTTAAATGACGTGGCAGCCATATTCCGTCTTTTCTTTCTCTTCTTCAGCCGTTCTCTTTTCTTTCTTTTCTTCCGGCGTTCTCTTTCCTTTCTTTTCTTCCGCCATCCTCTTTCCTTTCTTTTCTTCCGCCATCCTCTTTCCTTTCGTTTCTATTTTCTGCCGCCATCCATTTTGATTGTTACGTTTTAGGGTTGTTTTTTTGTTTGTTTTTCTGTACTTTTACTGTTAGCTATTTTACTTTTCTTTTGTTTTGGCTTTTACTTTTTTGCTTCTTTTCGTTTCTTTTGTTGTTTAGTTCTTCTTTTTTATACATTATACTAAGCAAATTAGAAATGAGTTTTACCTTAAACTCAAATGAGTAAAACGTCTAAAAAATGAACATACATAAATGAGCTTTTGAATTTTTGAATACTCATTTTGTAAATTATGTATACTCATTTAGTATATCTGTTGTGCTCATTTTTAAAATGTTTTAGCAATGCTCATTTCAAAAGCTCATATTACATTATTAGATTTATATAAGAGTTGATTATAGACATGAGACCACAAATCATGATACTCAATCGCAGATTCTAATACTCAATAGCGGAGGTTTGATGCTCATTGAAAATGTCTTGATGCTCAACGAATAAAACTTATATTTTCCATATCAATGCTCATCTTGTAAGTTACATATGCTCATTTGTATAGGTCTGATGCTCATTAAAAATTCATTAATGCTCATTTAATACAAATCATTATTTTCATCTCAATATAGGAGGTTTGATGCTCAATGAAAATATAGTGATGTCCAATTAACACGGTTTTTTATCAATGCGCATTGTGTAGCTACACATGTTCATTTGGTACTAATTTTATGCTCATATGTAAAATGGCATATCAATGCGAGTGTAAAATGTTCAACGAAAAATTTACAATGTTCATATCGATGCTCATCTTGTAAGTTACGCATGCTCATTTGTATAGGTCGAATCCTCATTAAAAAGTCATTAATGCTCATTTTACAGAAATCATGATTATCATCAATCTCAATAGAGGATGTTTGATACTCAATGAAAATGTCGTGATGTTCAAATAACAAAACAGCTAATAAATTCATTAATACTCATTTTGTAAGTTACGTATGCTCATCTGGTAGAGATTTTATGTTCATTTTCTAAATGTCATATCGATGCATTTTTTAAAGTACTATTTTACATTAATTCACATATTGAAATTCACAGGAGTTGATTATAAATATAATTTAATAAAATTTTATAAAAGAAATAATAACAAAAAGAAAGTGAATTAGAAGTTATGAAGCGGATATCAAAATTCTCAATATTAGACTCCTAATACTCAACAGAATGGGTATGATGCTCATTAAACGTTTATTATTGCTCATTCACTAGAAACCGTGAATTTCATCTCAATAGTGGATGTTTGATGCTCAAATATTAAATGTGAATATATAAAACGTGAAATGAGTATCAAAAAGTTCAAAATGAGCATTACGCCAATATGCATGGATATGACATTTAAGTTGTCTCGTGTAATGCTCATTTTAAAATGAGCATTACACCAATATCAAATGAGCATATCTAATTTACGAAATGAGCATAGAAAAAATTTAAAAGCTCATTTAAAATCTCGAGTATGCTTAAATATCAATTTGTATATTCAGTATGCTCAACAAAATAGGTCTGGTGCTCATTAAAAGTTCATTATTACTCAATCTCCAGAAGTCGTGATTTTCATCTCACTAACACCATATAAAAAAATTATAAACATATTTATATAAAATAATAGTATGATTCATAGATCAAATAAATACTTCAAAAATATGAATTAGTCTTTTAATATAGTAATAATGAGCAAAAGCAAAAGAATAGTTAATATTATAATTACTATTAATAATACGCAGTATGAAACTATATAGGATAAGTAAAATAAATGAACTGATTATCTCAACAGGACAAGTCAGCGAGATGGTTGGAAGGCCGCTTATCCTACTTCATGTCGCGGGATCGAATCCCGCTGGGTTTTTAATTTTTTTAGTGAAGGAATTCAGTTCCTTATGGCCGCGTTTCGTTGGGAGCCCACCAGTCAAATTTAATAATTGGGCTGGATGTACGTACACCCGGGTGGGGGTGTACGATATAGGGACTCCTGTTGAGAGATCTCACTAACCCTAAGATTGCTTATTTTGTAATCTCCCAGTATACAATTTGGGCAAAAAGCTAGGGGACAAATATAAGATATTATTAGTGAATTCATGATTTAAAGCATCCAAAATAGGAGACTGTTTCTAAACACATCATTCAGACAAAGAAGGAGATGCTCAATTCAATCTCACACGAGGTTTGATTGCCATAGCTTGAAAGATCTTAATCGCCCATGCCACATGAGGTGTTGCACGTAAGACATACTTCATCCGTCCCGAAATTAACTTCCCACTTTCCTTTCGGGTAGTCCCGAAATTAACTTCTAACTTTCATTTCTTACTATATTTAGTAAATTTTGGGATTGAATTGACCATGTTGCCTTTTTCATATTTATCCCTA